AACTGGCGCTGCGCAACTGCCTGAATTTATCCAGTTGTGTGGTGACCCCAAAATTAGGCCTGTAGGCCCTGGGTCGAGCCTGCCTTCACTTAGGGCGGCCGACCGTAAGAAAAATACGGCCCAGTAGGGCAGATCGAGGCCTTGAGCCTCGCAAAGGCAACTTTCCATTATAAAACCGGGAAACGGGCCCGGCGTCCCTCACATGAATGGTGCAGCCAGCCAAACTGGGCTGGGTAAAGCACTCCCGGCCAATCCCATCCCCAACTAGGATTGATAATAATGTTTACGCAGTTTGGTAAAGAATTTCGATTCGGCCCTGAGGCAAAAGTTTTTCAGTTTATTTCTGCTCAAAATAGTTATTTTTTTTTTTTTTTTTTTGGAGGTGTTTTTTTTTTTTTTTTCGTTTTTTACAGGACCTTCCCTGTCCCTTGCTCGACCCGGTCGCCCAGGACCTGTGTCGCCCAGTTGGCAACACAAGGAACACCAAAAGCGAAGGCAGCTTTCTGGGTCTCTACTGACGCTGAGGTGCGAAAGCATGGGGAGCAAACAGGATTAGATAGATCCGGCCAGGCTCTAACAAAACACGGCCAAAGGTGTCCCCTCTAATCGTAAGATTAGCAAGAACTTGTAGATGCAGTATAGGAAGAATAAAACATTTGGAATCAAAATTCAAACCATTTTTGACTCGACCATCGTTCTACAAGCCCAATGTATTTGCGACGACGCTGAAGCCGGAGAGTGGTGGGACGTTGCATCGAGGGGCTTGATGCAGGTAGCACATATTTTAAGTTACCTTGCCGTGTCGGATTGTAGTCACATTGGTTGTTTTTTTTTTTGTTTTTTGTTTTTGGTGAGTGTTGGGGAATTTGAATCCTGATTTCGTAGCATGAATTTTTGGGTGCGTAAGGAGAGGGATCTCATGTTATGACTTTTGGTGCTTCACACCTGCTGATTAAGATCCAGTGTAAGCTCTTCAGAAATTCAGGTATCGAATTGAGTCAGTCACCAACAAAAAACAAAAAAAGAAAAAAAAAACAACAGAAGTTCAGATATAGAATTGAGTCAGTCTTTAACTAAAAGAGAAAGGAAAAACGAAAAGAAAAAAAAAAGAAACAAAAAAAAGAAGAAAAAGGAATTGAGTCACCAACTGTGTGATGTCGACAGCATCTGCTCTGGATCCTGCTGTTATGAACCTGACCACAATTTGTTTTTCCTTTTCTTCCTTTTTTAAAGTTTTTTTTTTAATGAAAAAAGCAACCACAATTCTCTTTCCTAACCATACGAATGTTGATAAATTTTTGTTTCAAAATCCTCTCAATTGTTGTCCCTTTGCAATTCTCTAAAATAAAAGAACTCGCTCGAAAGGCCGGACCTTGTGCATCCACTGAATTCCATTTTGGGTCCATCTGCGATAGCAATGTATGCCCGGTAATGTTGTTTCTGTGTTGAAATGATGTGATTGCCCTTTTTTTTTTTTTTTTTTTGGGTTGTCGGGGGGGGGAGGGGGAATTCCAATGCTATTTCAGGGAGTTGGAGAAGATATTTGCGACCATGACGATGTCGTGCTGCAGAATGCAACTTCAAGAAAAAGTGAAGGAGGGAAGGTCAGACGTCAGACCGATGGCACGCTCTTGTTCTCATCTGTGAGCTGTAAAAAAACTGGACAAACGTTGTTGATTTAGGCGCTTCAAAATGCATGTCGGTCGCGCTTTATCCCGTGCGAAGGGCCTTTACACATGGGTATGGTTCAGGGTGAACGTGGCCTTAAACCACCAGTACATAAGCACCTTGGCCGCGGGTCTTGACGCCTCAAATTCCGGAGGCGCGAAACAAAAATGAGGCCGCCAATCGAATTTATCAACGACGGGCCCAACATTTGAAGTTCTGGCTGCGTTTTTTTCTTGGGGCGACAAGTTTCGGACTGCAAGGCTGGGGCCGTGTACTTGTGGTTTAATTGTGCACAAAAACATCCCAGGAGAGTGGTACCATCAACACCCGAATAGAACACCCGGGCCCAGCGTTTGACGTTTTGGCTGCGTTTTTTTCTTGTGGCGACAAGTTTTGGACTGCAAGGCTGGGGCCGTGTACTTGTGATTTAGTGCACAAAAACATTCCAGGAGTGTGGTACCGTCAACACCCGAATAGAACACCTGGTCATCAGAGCTGAATCTGGACTTAAAGTTGCCCTGAATCCACAGCTATAATGACCGGGCGTTCGATTTGGGTGAAGACAGTAGTGGGAGTGTGCTGGTTCTGGGAAAAAAAAGGTTTAAAGAAAAATTGCACCCTAACTCAACCCCAATAAAACATGACTTGCAGGTGATGCTGCTTGAAGTGATTATAAATTATAAATTTATAATGTCATTGCATCTGCCACTCATTTTCTCCCCCAACCACCTGTCTCATTTCAGTTATTTTCATACATGCGGCGCATCGACGTGCGCTGCACCGGCACAGTGCACGACATGCGCGCACCCCGAAAATAAGGGGTCGAGGAAAAAAAAAAGGTTGGGGAGGGGTGTTTTAGGCCCGAGTGGGATGTCGCGTTATAAACCACAAAAAAAATAAAAACAAAAATTTGAGGCCGTGCGGGGCCTCCGAAAAAAAAAGGGGGGGAAGTATGTTTTTTTTTTGTGTGTGTGTGTGTTGTTTGTGTGTGTGTGTGTGTGTGTGTGTGTGTGTGTGTGTGAGGGAGAGAGAGAGAGAGAGAGAGAGAGAGATGGCGGGAAGAGGGAGAGAGAAGTAGCGATGGTGGATGGTGGAAGGCGAGAGAAAGGCTGAAGGTGGGATGGTGGGAAG